ATAACCTGAAGTTCAGGCCCTAATCACAGAATAGGGCCTGACACAAAACCTATCTAAAGTGTGAGATTCCCGTCCACCTGGTGGACGGGAAATCTGATTGGTTGATCAGCATCATGAAGGATTTTGATTGGTTGCAAGTTTACATAAACAACAGTTTTAAAAATAACTCGGTCAAGGCGACAATTAATATAAAGATCAAACGCACGTACAAATTCCATTATCGATTTCTTCGAATTTCTTTTTCTTTTATGCTTTATGGCAGAAAATAAATCAAACAAACAGTATTTTGAAAGGGCTTTATCAAAATCTTGGACGAATTTTGGACACACGACGCCGAAAGAACAGCCAAACTAGTCATGTATTCGAAAGCTTGTTGTTGACAGCCAAGATGTTCTGCCAACTGGCTTCGCCGGCAAAAGTCTTATTTTTAATATCAGGTCCTACCGGCGTTGTTTTCTGAGCTACATCGCCTTCTTCGTGGTATGATTGAGAATTTAATTGTTGCTGTTGTTAGCCCGTTAGTCGTTAGAGTACTGATCCGCGTCCAGCAAGTTGAGACCTTGAGAAAGCTTGGCAGTCAAGCCGTGCACAGAACTGACTAATTAATATAAATCTTTGTTTGCTGTTCGGTTAAATAGAGAAACTGACTCTTAATTATATAAAAGTACCTTGAATTTTTAAGTTTAATGAAAATTTAAAGCAAAATGCACACTCTGCGGACATGTTCATGAGAATATAAATTTTTGTGTAACGAAATCTACAACACTTGTCAATCATATTGCATGTGCGTCTAAAAATAACATGTGGGCGTCCCACGGTCTAGACAGGTTTTGTGTCAGGCCCTATTTCAAACTAGGGCCTGAACTTCAGGTTAGCCCCAGCGAGTCAACGCTCTTTCGAGCGTCTTGTTTTATATAGGGTGCTCGAGTACCAAAATTTTTAAAAACGATAGTTGCAAAATTAAATACTATACCATTGAAAAGATCTTCAAAATCTGTTAAAAAATATAGAAGGCCAGACATGATCGGATTTACAGTTACAGAGATATATATCAAGCCGCAAAGTTGGTTATATTTGCCGGAATCAGCACTTTTTTGCAAGTTTTAACAATTAATATATTTGCAAAGTTCAATCTGATCATGGCAAGCCTTACATTTTTTTGACCAGATTTTCAAGATCTTTTCAATGATAGTATTTAATTTTGCAACAAACGTATTTGAAATTTTTTCGCCATGTTACCCCCAAAAAGCTTTTGCAATTTACAAAATCTTGCAAAAATATAACATATTTGGGGATAACAAATTTTACTCCTCTTCATGGCTTGTAAGAGACAAAAAAGGTAAGTTTTATAGTTTTTAGCTGTTTCTATGCCTTATTTTCATTCATACATTTATGTCGTACTAAACTCTTAGATCATTCCTCATGTAATCATTTTCTTTTGTGTTTCATACCTTTTCAGAAAAGCATAGTTTTCTTGACGAATTCGTATCTAAAAAACTTTAAAATTGCCCTTGTATATGTATTAATTTCATAACTGGTAATTAACCCTCTGTATTTGTTTGTAAAAATATTTTTTCAAGGTAAAATATTGCGTTTTCAAAATGTCATTATGCGATGTGATGTCACACCGGTGATATTTGCATATGAGACAAATTTGAATATCTTGAAAAGGGAGCAAGTTACCAAAATTCTATAAAAGAAATTATTAAGTCATTTTAAGTGATCTTTACAATGCAATCATAAACATTTGGGGTGAAACTTCGTGTCATAGGCACTTTAAATTGAGGCTTATATTACGTATAATAACATACCTAGCATATATATGTTGGGAAATTAATAATTTTGTAATTAAAAGTGATATGTTTAGGCGATTTTTCATTTGTAAGAATATTCTTAAATAATTATCGTGTTACCATGACAACTACTTTAGATACTTCATGTTCGGAAAATACAATGGTTTTGTCAGCAAGGCGAGGGTTTCTGCATGCATGTATTTTCTAGTATAATGGAACCGTGACAATATATTGGACAATATAATAATGGCCAAGAATGAATATTACACGAGTAAGTGGTGAAAACTGATTGCTAAATAGAAGAGTGGTAACACTCGTATTTACCAAGTGGAAAATGCAGCACAGTCAATTATTTTTATCTGGAGAAAATATATGAACACAGACAACAAACTAATTAGCGTTTCTCACGCCGCCATTTTTGGGGTAGGCTTTTCCAGATCTCAGATTGTAATCATTAAATATGGGAGTTGTATTGGACCAGTATGAATATAATCATTATAAGTTAATTTACAGTTAAATATTTGAAAAATTATTTTCGCAACGCTTAGATTTTTAATATCATTCACAAAAAAATACCCCCAAAATGGCAGACTTGGCCTTTGTGAGAAAGGCTAATTGTACTGAACACACATGATTGTTCTTCCTAAGTTATATTTAATGAAAACGATTTAAAATATTGGTACCACGTATCATATACAAATACAGTGCATTCATGCGTATAGTAATCCAAATTACATTCATGCTAGTTAGGTTGTAAATTTCAGTGTTTTTGAAACAAAATAAATTCATACATACAATTGGTTTTAGCAATTAAATAAGCCACTTTCGAATCCTGGTGTATTAATTTATTAAACCCAGACTAAGCAGACTTTTGTTCAATCGGCAGCATTTCCTTGCGATCATATATCTATTATTGTATAAAAGTCCTATCACAGAGCAATACTTACAAGTCTCAAGTTTCAATTAATCTAAAATTGTTGGTCATGTTAATCATTTAAACAAATTAGACTTGGCTGAATCCTGTTCAGTCTTATCATATGTGCGATCATTTGTATTAGGAACATGTCCTGAAGGAGTGCCTGACTTCCTAGCACCATCAATGTGTGATTTCTGGTCATCAAAAAAGATGTGTGGGTTTATTGCTTTCAATATTTCATTCTTTGGGGCACCCGCCATGAAGAATGACTCATCGATCTGTACCCCCAGCTACGTAATGTCTTCAGGGCACGTTCACCAACCTCCGCGTCACGTGATGTTACTAGGAACGTTCTAATTGGGCAGGTCTTGTCTTTGGAACATTCGAACTTCTTTCGCATTTTACCCAGCGCCATCGCGAAAGGTTTTATTGGACCCTGGCAATGTGGAAAAAGATAACTAAGTAAAAAAATCGTTTCAAAGAGGCCGTCAAGTCCGTTCTGTTCATGTTCATGTGCGTGTTTTGTTTACATTCTTTGTTTCAAAGAATATATAATTTAATTAAAGTTCCCATCTGTGGGCCCACAAGTTAGCATCACGCATTCAAAATATATCACCCAAGGAAGGATTGAACTATGTAGAATAATTTGTAACACTATATTATTGATAACGCCGTAGGACAATAAACAATGGTTGATTTAGTCGATTGACGTAAGAGTTGTATCATATGTCATGAATAATAGACTTCAAATTGATTGTCAGACTGAAGGCACGAGGAAAAGCAGGAAGGATTCTCATGTTATGTATTTTATTGTTTGAATAGTTTAAATAAATATGTTTTAAAGTACGTGTACGTTCTATTTCCGATGGTATTGTTCTGATAGTAGACAGTCCCCACGAAGCGCAACTGTCTTGCGGTGTAAGACAGAAAAGTACAAAATTTGGTCCATGCGAGCCGGATAGATTACGAAAGAAAGAATCGAAATAGATACGACAAAGCCGTTGGACGAGCTGACAAAAAAAGAACACGCGCAGCGCACAGAGGTTCAGAAACGAAGATAGGCACGAAGATAAAATAATGTTCAGCGAATGCGAATGAAACGCCTCAGACAGACAAGAATGTGCTCAAACAGCTGAGAGACACGCTGAGCGAGAAACTCGAAGCCTTGAAACTTTTAGACAAAGAAATTGTCGAGGTACTAAGTAATATTGAAGCCGATGGCGCAGAACAACAGCTGGAAAAAGAAATTTAGGAGACAGATGATACGCGAGCTGAATTACAAAAGATAATTCTCGACGTAAATGACCATTGTTCGAAGCGTTGCCGTCACTACCACAAGAAAAAATTACACCATCGAATCTGAGTATGAACGCTACACCCAAACAGACTGTTCGCGCAAAGCTCCCAAAGTTAGAGGTGAGAAGATTTAATGGGAAAATTCAAGAGTGGCAAGAATTTTGGAACACCTTTTATAGCTCTGTGAATTAGAATGACGCTCTATCAGAGGTAGATAAATTCGCATATTTGAAAGCCAAGATGCCTACATTGTTTACAAGGCGAGCGTAAACAGATACTTCGTAACAGCGTTCGTACTCCCCATAACCAAAAAAAATTCAGAGACTTTCAACGATTTTTCTGCCTATTGTCAAAGACCTTTCACCTTTCAAAGACCTTTGAGAGCAATCAGGTGTCGAAAGATTGCGATGTATAAGCACTATTTTTACCAGGTAATTTGTCCCGATAAATTACATCCTAAAATGCACTTTTTCGTCGATATTTGCGAACATCTTGCTATAATCAATCTAATAATATAGCTAGGAAATCGTATAATCATTAATCAAATAATCACTAAAGAATTTAAAGACTTTTAAAGACTTTCTTCTCTTTTTCTCACACTTCAAAGACTTTTCAAGGACCTAAAAAGCTTAAAGACCTGCATTCAAATTTAAAGACTTTCAAGGATTTCAAAGACCGCTACGAAGTACCGACGGTATTCTATATGTTTAATTAAAGAGAGGACATATTAGTATAGTAATCGTTTAGATACGAGTAAATGTAGTGCATGCAGTAAACGTCATCATAGTTCTATTTGTGAGAGCCATGCTAATGGGTCTATAACCGCTGACGTCGTTCATTCCACACATTCGTGCGTTGGGTCAGCAAATAGAGTAGCATTGCAGACAGCTGAGGCTTTGGTGATGGGAGGACAGGAGAATGTGAGAGTGCGGGTTATGTTTGACTCAGGAAGTCAACGGTCATTCGTTACGGGCAAGGTAGCTCAAAAGGCAGGTGTGCCAGTAAAGAGGAAGGCATTGGTGGAAATTAGAACGTTCGGACAGGAGAAAGTTGAAGCGAAGTTGAGAGAAATGTTTGCGTTGTGTGTAGCCCCAGTACAGGGGGGATAGAGTGTTAACATTGAAGTTTATGGAGTAGACAGCATTTCACAGATTAGGAATGAGCATGTAGAGGCAAGGAAGAAAGATTACCCACATTTGCAAGGGTTATGGTTTTCCGATGTTTGTAAGACCAAGAGTGTGTTAGAAATAGAGTTACGAATTGCGCAGATTATTTGTGGTTATTTCAAGAAGGGCGAACTGTTAGGGGCAATAGTGGTGAACCTGTTGCGGTACAAACCAAATTAGGATGGGTGTTGTCAGGTCCACTGAAGAGTAGCTCTGAAGACGATGGTCTTACATCGTGTTCACAGGTGCGTGTGAACCTTATTAGGCATTTAACTTCATCAAAGAATAGGTCCTTGAAGCATGTGTTGAACAATTATGGGATTATAAACACTAGGTATAAAGCATGAATAGGAAGCTAGTGAGTTATTAAATTATTCAATACATTTCAATGGCCAACGATATAGTGTAAGCTTACCTTTGAAGGAAGGGCACATCCTCGTACCCAGAGTCTTTTTAGGAAAGACCCTGGTATCGGCTGGTCACGTGACTCTACAAAAATTGATTGCCCAAGGGGGAGTGGCAAAGTATCAAATTACATGCTTCCACAAAAAACGTTAAATTTCAAATACCACGAGTGGGATTTTACGATATATAGTTCGAATCGCCGGCTAACTTCTATTTTATACCTTCGTTTGCTTTTAAATTACAATGAAAGTGAGGTGAAGCCATGCAATAGAGTACAGTCTGTAGAGTTGTTTTTGGTGTGAACTCTTCACCCTTTTTGCTGAATGCCACACTTCAGCACCATCTTGATCTTTTTTATCGCTTTTCCAGTTTCACAGCTGACACTGCAATCGAGCAACGAAAAATTCGTTGGCTTGAGCGGGATTTGAACTCGCATCTTCGGGTATCTAGACCGCCGCTTTACCTATTGAGCTATCGAATCAACGGGGATTGGTAGCGAGTCTTATCCAATTTAACACGAAAATATTTCGTGCACTTTAATCATCCTCGTTCCCAGGGCTTCTCGGCTGCCTGCGTTGCCGTAAGCCCTGGGACAAGCCAAACCGGAACACCACAAACTCTGGTGTTTTACGGAAGTAAACGCGTTCTGCTGCAATCTAAAAATGCTGACTATTCACTAATTTGTACTGAGAAGTGGAGACGTGTTGGTGAGCAGAAAATATTGGATTTTTCTTTTGTTTCGATGTATTTTCCACCATCAAGGGAATATGTGCAGACCACCTATAAACGGAATTATACATATTGGGGTTTTATATTTCGTTATATCGTTAATATTCGTCAAAATACAACCATATTTCGGTCTCGTATTTATACATGTATCAATTTTCATGTATGATGTAAACATGATCGAGTCGAAATGTGCTCGAAGTGGATTCGAAACATCATGGGTTCTAGTACAGATGACCTGTTTCAACACGCGCTTGTGAAGTCACTTCAAAGACTGGCAGTAGCGTAGCCAGGCCGACGATTTGGTCCCACTATGCAAAATTTTCATGTTCATTGACTGTGAAAACAATCAATTTCTAAAGGAATGAATAATGATAATAATTTTGAATTTGCATAGCGGGACTAAATTGTCGGGCTGGCTACGCCACTGAAGACTGGATAAAGGCGGACTGGAAATTAAAGAGAAGTAATTCGAAGCTTTATCGTCTAGCGTATGTTGTTGAACATTGACTTGTGAATAACAATGAACCACTTTTCTAGTTCAATATATCTATAGCAGGAGGCTTAAACCAGAATTTCGGAATACAAAGCAACTTTTATGTCATATTTGTAATAGTTTGTTTAAAATCCATTTTTATACAGACATGGGAGGGTGTCTCCCGGGTAGAAGCCTGCATATACATATACAAATTTTCAGTTCTGTCAATAATAATAGTTTATTTTATAATTTCAATTCTTTCAAGATTTGCAAAAAGTCAACAGAATAAGTACTAAAACTGTCTCTACCAGTGTGGGTAGTACCAATCTGAAAATGCTGTGCTGAGTTTCTGCTTATTTTTTAAGGTAGTAATATAACCACTCAGCACAACAGAATAAGTACTCTATTCTGAATCTGAACTGTTGACAGGAAACAGCATAAATTCATGATCTCATCCAATATGACACAAGAATTCGAGACCCTCACCTCGGGAATACCAGGGGCATTCACTTAATTTGGTGTGTGAAATTCAGTGAAGTCCCTTACAGCCAGGACAAAAAGGCAAGGTAAATTTCTTCGGTCCTATCATCCCCAGGTATTCAATTGGATTTTTACTTGAAATTTCACAAACCAGTCCTTTATTTGCTGTTCTGTAAAACAGTTTCCTAGCCGACTGCTTTATTTCAGCATTTATATAAAAGACTAAGCCTTTCCTAGCTGACTGCTTTATTTCAGCATTTATATAGCTGACTGTTTTATATCAACATTTATATAAAAGACTAAGTGACCCCCCCCCCCCCCCCCCCCCCCC